TTCAGCATGTGTTGATCCATCTGGAGCCAGAGCAGAATTTGAATAAGGACAAGCCTGGCTGCATGTGCCTGTGCGTTCAGAGGCGGCACAAGCTCACAGGGAGAAAAATAGAATTCTACCATTTTTTTAATTTATACATTCATTTAAATAACAGGGGCAGTGTACATTAATGAGCAGTAAAGGAACCATATATGGGATGATTTATATAATGGAGCTTACTGGAAAGACAAGACATGATGCACTAAAAATTAAAAGTGCTACAATTTCTTGAATTTTTAAGATTATACTCTATATTCTAAGTGTAAGCCAAGATATCATAAATATATCTATTTGACGAGGATCAGTGTACTGGGTATTGCAGTGCAGATATAAACAAATCGGGCTCTTCTAAAAAAGTTACTTATTTTTTATTAAACTACTATTGTGTATAGACTCATCACATGGAGACAATAAAAGGGTTAACCACTTTGTTGTGTTTTTAATTAGAATTAGAATATTTTCCTACACAATGTCAAGAACTGTTGGTGACTAAAGTGAAGAATAGACTAGACCAATGATTCCTCTTCAACCTAATATGGTTTGAGTTTTCTAAGGCAAAGTGACGTCACGCGGTGCAAACCTTAACCATACATTAGTCATAACTCCTCCAAATGTCCTCTTTCATCAAAAGCCTCAAAGCTTCAGGGAGCGCTGCCTCTGCTCTTTGTGTTAGACATAATTTAATGAAGCAGGACTGTGGCTCGTGATCACACTTGTCAAAGCAAAAGCCTGTTCTAATTATGTAAAAATTGTCAGGGCGTTTGGTGCTCCTGCTTGGTATCTGTGAGTGGTACCGGCCCGCCAAACAACAGGCTGTGAGACCTGCCCGTGCTGCTCCCGGGCTAAAACCTGTGCGATCCAAGGCCTCGCCAACTCACACACGTCTGCTTCAATTAGCAGCAAGACAAGCTGCCGCACGGTCACTCCAGTTCAAGTTACCTTACTTCCACACATGCATATTTGTTAGATAAAGTACTTCATCATAGCCACAATTTACTACTTCAATATGCAAAGGAATCCTATGAAAACAATGGATGGATGGATGGATGGATCCTATGAAAACATTTTGGATATTTTGTTTTGTCCAAAGGAGAATAAAAAACTTAGAATAAGCTCAGTCTCAGTGTTATTTCAAGCACTGCCCCATTATTTCCTCTATCTATGTGAGAAGTGGCTGAATGCTTACATTAGAAATAGAGATGTTGCTTAGAGAAGATGATTGTTCTAAGATGAAAATGCAATCAAGTCTAGATGAAACCAACTTAAACAGGCATTATTCAACTTATTATGGCAGGGGAAAAATATAATTCAACATTTTTATTGTATATCCCATTTTCTTTTATTCATCCATGCATTTGGACAGCAGTGCATTAATGAGCACCACTGTAAATGCATCATAAATGGATGAAAATGTTTTATAAAATATTCTTTTATAAATAGAATATATAATGACGCTTGCTGGTAAAACCGGCGTTAGTCTGACCTCATATGGTTTGGGATTTTTTAATAATTATATTTTGTTGCTGTGGCTGTAAGAGTGGGCAGCATGGTCCCTGTCCTCACTGGTCAGGTGGGGGTCTGGAGCGCTGGTCCATCAGAAGATTCAAAACATCCAAACAATTGACCCTGATAACATCCTTGAAATCCCTGTGATGGAAAGTAAAGGTGCCATGATGACCACTCTGGGAAAGCACAGACACAAGGTAAAAATATCCAAAATGTAGGGGTTTTTTTAAACAGTAAAATGTATATTCAACAGTATATTCATTATAGCGATATACAAAATAATCCAATTAAAAACAGGCTTTCCATAGTTACAGGAACATGCTGTATATGCAAAATAGCACAAATGAATATGGCGTTAGGGTGTTCTACCTTGATAACTAGAAACTTTTGTGATTGAAATCATTGGATCATTCTTTTTCTACAACTTTACTTAGACTGTATGAACCTCATCATTTGAAATAATCAATACTCAATTGTACTCAAACTGTGATTATGTTTTCTCTTGTTCATTATACAGGCTGTAGATTCTCATGTGAGACAAAAGAGGTGCAAAAAATGGTTGCAAAACAGCCATTTTCATGTTGGCGTAACATTTATGTTGTTAGTTGCATTTCAGCCACATCCTCTATACTTGACTTTGTTCATCTGTCAAAGTTTTTTGTTTAGAGCCTTTAATTCTTTCTTCATTCAATCATCTGAAAGTCACTGTAGTAAAGAAGACAGAAATTTCAATAGAAGTAACATGACATTCAAATTATTTGTATTTCTTTAGAGAATAGAAACAAAAGAGAAAAACCAAGATTGCATATTGTGGCAAATCCGTGAAGAACCAAAACCCAGGCTCTTATAAACATTGTATTTTCAAAACCAACATTGTATTTATCCAACTTAAACAAACCTGTAGACACGCCACATATGTTTTCTGGAGGACTATTATAGACTTGCCTTTGTATTGCTTTCTTTCACTCCCATGTCCTATTGTTGAGATATAATTCGTAAATAGCAGTGAGCTAAAGACACAGTGGTTAAATATGACCTAGATGGTGTTCATGGAGCTCTGAACCAGACACTACCACAGTTGGACTACTGTCTACCAGCTATAGGTAATGCCCCTTAATGCCAGTGCCACTCATTGCCACATTACATCTAATTATGTTATTATTAATATTTAGTTTCATTATATTTCCACCACCAAAGCACATGGGATTAATGTCAGACACAAAGGCTCACCACAATTCAGGAGTCATTACAAATAGGTCTCTATATGGCGGCCTACGTGGAGATACATGCAGGTAATTTGCCTGAGTCTGAATGCTGGTTATTATCTCCGTGCCTGGTTCGAACTTGTGGAACTGAAAGGAGTCGGAGTGAAATGACGTGTCTTAGTGCGCCCTCTGCTGGCTCTGTTTAAAAGGTAATGCAAATAATAACAGTAGTCACAGTGAGAACAGGGAAATTGGAAATGTAGAATTATTTTAGGGAATGAATTGAAATCAAATTAATAATAAAATTAATAAAATCCGTATAAATATAGATTTCACATTTATTATAACACACACTTAGTTCTTAAGTCAAAACAATCATGTTGTAAAGCTCAATGGTCTAATGGATTTTATTCCGTGATGGAAATAGCATTTAAAATCATCAAGTACATTTATAAAAAGGCTGTATTTGTATAATGGTTGATTACTGTTTATTTTTGGAGCCAGTAATACAATGAAATATGAGAGAAAGGGAATTTGAAATTATAAAAAAAACATAATCCGAAGTAATCTTTACTTGAATGCAAAAAGTGAGAAACTGGTTCAACACTGGGTTCAAATGGTCAGCTGTAGTACATGACTTTAGACTTTAGAGCGCTTGGTGGTGGTCACAGATTGGGTGGGGGGGGTACCATGTGTCAGATGGGGCGAGGGGGGCACAGGGGCAGACAGGGTTACATGGACAGGCGACAATCCCGCAGGCATTTACTGATTGGCACTCATCACAAGGTCTGAGCAAGGTGCCATTTAATGTGAGACTGTAAACAAGGTCAAAAGAGTGTCAGGACAACGGCTGGTCGGACAGTCCCAGCTGTGACCAGTAAGATGTCAGCGAGGGCCTCAGGGCGCTGAAGGGACGGGACAAATATACAGTAAAACCCAACCTTCCACTACTGGTTTGATATCTCACAGAGTATATCTATCTAACCTGATGAAAAAGTAATATCATACCACTGTGCTTAGTGAAGGACAGTGTGCAAGACTCAGTCAGTGGCATTGGGGAAAAGAGGCAACAGTAGAGTTTCAAGGTGAATGTCAAAGCAAAAAGAACACCAAGGCTTCACATTTTTAGACTAATATCTGGAAGGTCCAATGGCATTCATGAGGAGCTTTTCATGAATATTTCTATTTTCATAAAATACACCTGTTGTTGGAGTTGGGAGGGCCTGTGGAGGCTTTTATTGCTTTAGTGCCAGGGACCCATCAAAAAGAGACCATTCATTTCTAAATAAAACACACACATTCAATAACTGTTTGTGTTTTAAAAAAGATTAGACAAATTCTCAAATTCCTTGAATAAACGAACAGTCCAAATTTGTCAAGATACCAGTTCTAAACTCAAGTGATCACAATTTGGTGTCATTAATTGCTGCCGGTTGTTATCAGCATGTATTAAAATTTTGACCTCTTTCATCTTTGTTATTTGTAACTCTGCTTGTGCAGTGGTATATTGTGAGACATTAACAATGATTAAAAATAACAGTGATAAAAATGTCTGGTTGCTGTAACTGTGTAGAGGCTGAGCATCTGAGTGGTGTTGACATGGAGACATATTGATATTCTGTCCACCAGGAGAGGCCTGGGGCAGATGAGTGATTTAAAAGGGGGGTGAATGATGAAAGTAAGTTAACAAATGGTTGGTCTCTCACAGTTGTCCTGAGGGGAGACGCTAAGCCTTGGGTATGACTCGTCTGACTGTGGCTTCTCTATTGATTTTTACACAGAAAATGATCATTAGGGTAAAAAAAAAAAAGTAATTTAGACAAGGCCAATGTCTGAACAATACATAGTTAATTCCCAACAATTGATTCCATGACTTAACAATGTGCACCTCAATTTTCCCTAAACTAACTAGATCGTTGTTTAAGGCAAATTGCAATTATATTTTTGAACCACTAGAGGGCAGCGCTATATAATTCTGCAGTTAGCAAGCTCTTTGAAATGAATAAGGCGCTTAGGGGAGCGGGACATAACGCGCTTTGTGATGCAGTTTTATTGTGTAGTATTTATACAGTATTATAGTTTTAACATGGAAAAGGTGTCTCTCACAAACAATGTATCATTATAAAAACACTCATTACTTAACTCTTTGTTTAAAAAACCCTGCTTGGGTCACCTCAGTTAATGTTATGGTTTAATTGCACTTCTTGGTTCTGTCTTACCCACTCATGGACCAATGGGATTGCTCATTTTTTAAAGTTTACAGTTCTGTATACCCATGCTGTCCTCAGGCCAGCGATAAGAGTCCACCACAAACTGCTCGTAGTCAGTGCTGTACACCAGAGACTTCAGATACTCGGGTTTGTCTACCGGCTCAGGGCGACGGAAGGCCAAGTTTTGCTTATAGGCAAACTCCACAATCTGAAATGATTGATACATTTATGGTTTGTAAGTTTTCAGTATAAGTAGAAAACTTACAAACTTATATTACCTTTGCAGCCAGTTTTAAAGACACATCCTGGATGGAGCTGAGGGGAGGATACAATCTGCCCTCTGCCAAGTCTTTCTCTGTCACCTGTTCAGCAAGGGCCTATAGAAACACAAACCTCTCATTTGGACGAATATTGTACACTTGAAATTTAACTGCATCAAAACGGTTGATCGTTACTTTTAGCCAATCATTGAATTTGATTGCAAAGTGATTATGATAATTCATTTTTTATGGATTACCTCTGCAGCTGTGAGAAAAACCTCCTCAGTAACATGTCGAATGCCACATGCTGTGACTCCAAGTCCTACTCCAGGGAAAATATAAGCATTATTTCCCTGACCAGGAAACAGGGTGCGTCCATCAGGCAACGTTACTGGGTCGAAGGGAGAGCCACTGGCAAAGATGCCGCGCCCCTGATATGCATAAAATCCCAAAAGTTTAGAAGTATTGGTGCTGTGAAAAGTACATCTGCAACTTTTATCTGTACCTCTGTGAATATATAACACTGTTCAGCAGTGCACTCAGCTTTACTTGTGGGATTGCTGAGGGCAAATATGATTGGGCTCTTATTGAAGGACGCCATATCTTTGATGATCTGCTCTGAGAAGGCTCCTGGTACAGCTGCCACACCTGAAAGTCAACAAGCTCTATTCAAGAAAAACATCAGAAAAGCAAATGATTTCTAATAGACTGAGTGACCATAGACACTGTTAGTCTTTTTTCTCAGTGTTCTTTTTTTCTTTTCAAAATACTGAGTAAAGCACAGGCATCTGTTTTACCTATGATGGCCGTGGGTTTAATCTCCCGAACCACATCCTCCAGTCGGTTCATCTGAGGGTGCTCGTGGGCGAACCTCTCCTTTTCATGTGTCAGGTGGCTTCGACCCTATCAACAAACACAGAAAGGAACATCAAGAATGCCACATATTTTCTACCCATAAAAGCGTCAAAACAAGATAGATGAAAGGAATAAAAAGGGAACGTACAAAGGAAGGACAATGAGTGATGGGTAAGACCAAAACTGGAGAAAATGAAGAGGAGTTTTGACAACAATCTGGTATAATGTCATGTGTAAAACAGATGGGCTTCTCTGTGCTATGCAGGGTAAATCTCTGTCATGCATTTTACAGTGGCGTTAATCATGTAGGTGGCTGGTGTCACATTATAAAAATACCAACCTCCTACATTTTCAATCCCAAACAATTACACTTTGTTTTTCCTGTCAGTTTGAGTCAGTCTCACCCTGACAATGAGGCCCTTAGAGTCCACCATCCAGATCTTTTTCAAACTCTGCTCTTTTGGAAGTCCTTCTTTCTCCATGGCCATAGAGATTAGCTCTGCAATACCCATCGCTGCCTGAGAAAAAAATAAAATCATCATGAGCCTTGTTCAAAAAATGAATAAATACAAGATTTCCCTTTTGGTGCTGAAATAGCAGAATTGCTCTAAGCTCCAATTCAAGAAAACAACAGCCTGGCTTCACACAAACGTTTCCCTACATTTTTCTAACTTATTTTTCATCTTTAAAATCTATTAGTGACTTAAGTTATCCTCTATACATCTATACCTAAGTATCAGGGCGCCACCTTTTGGCTGTTTTACATTAAATTTTTGAAAAAGACTATAGCGCATAAAAGGTTAACAAAAAAACAGCGTCTACCTCTCCAGCTCCTTGGAACACAATTGTGTGGTCGCACATTTTGCTTTTGGTGATTCTCAGAGCAGCTAAAAGTCCAGCTACAGCCACAGCAGCAGTTCCTGAGAACGAGAGAGCCGAACTCACTGTGATAATCTTTATGAATGTAAATTGGGAAAAGGGTGCAGTTCATGTTTTACCTTGAATGTCGTCATTGAAAGTGCAGTACATGTTCCGGTACTTGCTGAGCAGCCGGAAAGCATTTATATTTGCAAAGTCCTCAAACTGAATCAAACAGTCCATCCCATACCTGTGTGCAGAAAATGCATTGATAACCCTTTTGGTGAATGGCCTCTAGACAATGGCATTTAGCCAGCATATAAAAGCCAAGCATGCGAGAACAGTAGGTTTTAACGAGCTTACAGCTGCTTCCTTGATTTTACCACTACAGCTGATTATCAGGAGGTCAAACTGGAACAAAAGACGGGATCACAGAAACAGCATACGAGGCCCACCCAACCTCCCAATAAAGCTACAGTTTTACAAGATGTTAAAGAGTGAATACTTCTCACACATACATTATCATTAGGAACAGCTCCGTCAACACAGTGCAGGAGATACGCCCAGTAACATACAGTCAAAAAAAGTGAGCCTGCAATTCAGATTTAGAAAGTCCCATGGATTTCACCAGATGGAACTCTTCAATGGAATGTATGGCTCGGAGCACAACTGTTAACAACATCTCGGGAAATCGTGAGTTTTGCAAAAACAGTCGAAAATTGGCACTGCAGGGTCATTTAACATTTAACCTTTTTAAATTTAATCTTGTATTATATGTATGCATAATAAGTACTTAATCTATCTAATTTCCCTTAAGCCTACGGAATTGGTTTCCTCTGCACTCACTGCCAACCTGTAAAAACTATTATCATCAAGATGAAAAAGCTGAGAGGAAACTGGGTCTAAAGGAAATGGAGGACACTTCTGATGTAATAAAATGTAATATCCACAAGATTAAAGAGGGTCCAGCCTGCTTCCACTACCACACGTCAGATTGAGATGCTTGATACTCTTACTGACATCTCAACAGAAGTGTAAAATGTGTTTTCAATAAAGCTGAACGTCCCACAAAGGGAAAATAGTAACAAGTCCAAACAGGGGCAGTAAACTTTTCATTGTGCTCTGACCAGGGATGGGCGAGGACTGCTGCATACACGCTGCTCCATTATAAAACTGCTATTGTATTGGATTGTATGGGCTGGTATGGACTGAATAGTATATAATTATAACTAAATATAACAACAATGTATACTTTATTTTACTGAACAGAAAGAGAAGACGATATCTGAAAAGTATGACAATAAAATACCAAAAGGGTAATTGTGGCATAACATGTAAATTACAGTTCTGAGTTCCAGATTTGCGTTGTTGAGTGTTTTTTATATTAAAGGGATCCTCAAATTGTCTCCATTCAAGTCTTTACCCTCCACAAGTTTATGAATGAATGCAACAAAAAAGAAAAAGGAAAAAAAAATCTTATTGCCAGTTGGATCAAGATGGTGCAGACAAAAAGGGATTTACTTTTGTCTCTGGGATCAAGTCTGAATAAATGAGACACACCCACACAAGCCTTAGGGAAAAGCTGGGCCAATAGAAAATGTAGAAAAAAAGTGTAATACACCAGCTGTTACTGGTATTGAAACAATGTGTTTCTCTGACAATTTGACTAAAACCAACACATGTTTTCAATTTTAGATAGTGATATATTGCTGTTTATATTCTAATCATGTATGACCCAGTACAATTATCGGGGTTACGAATGGAAGAAAAAACTGTCGAATCCATTTTGTAGTTTAAAAAGTGTTTAGTTTGAACTTCCATAGTGACTTCAGTTGTGTGCAGTGATGAAATGCAAAGCTGTGGGGAGTTGGAGTTGGACTTTACAGTGTGAGAGCTGCAGAGGTCCAGCTGGAGATGAGAGATTGGTGAAAGTGCAGCTCGTAGAGGGCAGGAGCAGGCCAGGCCCTCAGCAGAAGGTCACAGACAAGGGTGCTCTGTCCAAACACAGCTGTCCAACCTGCGCATACTGGCGTTTGTGTGGTGCACAAGAAGCCTGTTCAGAACGTCCCACCGGATTCTCAGGCTTTAATAAATCCCCAGTCTCCAGAGAGCCTGCGTCTCTCAGCGCACATTATTCCTCAATCCCCTCATTAAAAACAAAAGAATATTCTGCATGCGCCCTCCTAATAACCCTCCAAAATCTTCACTTAAATCGTACATTTTTGAAGACAACCCAATTTCTGGGAAAACACCCTTCTACCTAGCTTAAATTACTTTCATTTTAGGGCCTATTTCACTGGATGTGAGGCTATGAACTTGAGTGACTTGGCTCTTTCATGTAAAGCCAATAATTAGAAACCCAGACAATCTACTTTTGATTTTCAACAAAAGCTGTGAAGACATTCTCTCTGATCATTTAAGTATTACAGCAAAGCTTCGAGGGAGAGGTTAAAGGGTTTAGTCACACTTGCAGGAGACTAACCCACAATGTTGGCTACAATCTTACACTCAGTGCTTCTAAATTAAATCTGTTTTCTGACCTTTTGAATAAAAAAAACAAAGGGCTGCAGTCTTTGTGAATCTGAGAATCTGTACATTTAAGTGGAAACGATCCTTGCACACAGAAAACACAACCTGCAAAGTTTGGCCAAAGGAGGAGACCAAATGTAAATTTCATATTTCTTCTGTCTTGGCTGAGGCAAATGTAACTGAAAATCAGATTTAGGGTAATAATGCTCAAGGCAGAATATAAAATTCATTTTCACAGATTTTAGGAATATGATTTATTTCAGACTGGTCCTATTTCATCCAAAGGAAAACATCTTTATTTTAATCTTGATGTTGGTTGCATAGGTTATATTTGATCAGGTTGAGTAGATTAATGTATGGATGGGCTCTAAGGGGAGTAACAGGTTAAAATCATGCACTACTATAGCAGATTGAAAAGATGCCTCCTGTCTGCTCTTGATGAGTCAACTGTTGAATTCAGCACAAGCTTCTTAGAAAAGTAAACAAATATTCCTTAAAATACAGTTAAGCTGCAATCATTCATTCAGTCCGTGAGCCCATAATCATCCATTTTCCGCCAATATAGCTGTTTTTGGAGAAAAGTATGACGGTTTTGGTAGTGGAGAAGCTACCTAGTTATTAGAGCAGTGGCTTTCCGCAGCCAGCTGGAGGGGGCCCAGACCCAGGACTCTGCCTCCGGACAGCAGCCGATTTCGGGTTTGTAGTTTGGGATCAGGCCTAATCCTCCCCATGTGTGTGGTTCAAGACATATGTGCAGAGATGCATGCGAAGGAAAGCCATACGAGGGTCATGGGACAATAATAAAGACATAGAAGTCCTCAGAGCAGAGCATCACTTACATAATTTCACTTTAAAGGCAAAAAAAAGTCAGTCAACATTTGACTGGGACCAAAAAGAACATTTATAACTTCCTGTCCATGCCACGTTTTACTGCTGAAGGGAGTAGAATATAATACTTTATAAGAATATGGTCCATTTATAGCTTCTGCCAGTTACACAGATTTTGGTTAGAATAGAGGAAATACTGGAAGTAAGGAGAATTTAATTAATTTACAAATTGGCTGAAATTGGATCGTTTCAGGTTAGGATATTGCACAAGTTTGTCCTCCGAAACACCAGTCAAAATACCACAGCCCTTTGAGCTTCTTTCATTATTAGTGGTCGATTCCCAATCATAATTGTCCAAAAAGGGCAATTTTTTTTTTTTTTTACGTAAAAAAAGTTGATATTTTTTGCACATTTGACCCAGTGGCTGTATGAGTGGTCAGCATAGCGTCTTTACTTCACTCTCATACAGCACTACAAGGTCAAATATGCAAAATAATTGTTCATGTTGCATATTACATTGCACCTTTAAGGTTAAGGTTAATGTACACTTTATTATATGCTGTAGGGGAATTTGTCCTCTGCGTTTGACCCCTTCTTCAATGCCACTATAGGGCTTCTGTCAGGAGCAGTGGTCGCCATAGTGAGAAGCGTGTAAAGATATACTCCAAAATGAATCATTACACATTTGCGCCTGCTTCTTCATGCTTTGGTTTAAATTTGGCTCTAAATTATATCTATCAAGACAGGCGAGTGTTTAGCACTCCTAGGTTTGAATCCTGGTCGGAGTAGGGTTTTTTGAGGGAAGTTGGCATGTTCTCCCTGAGTCTGCGTATCAGTGCACCGGTTTCCCCTATTACGAAACCATGAAGAACTGCTCTCTTTAGGGACTTCCCTGGTTAAATAAACGTCAAAAAAATCTTGCAATGATGCCAAAATGCTTGTGAGATGCTGTTGAGTGTGTAGAAAAACAAAGAATAAAAACTGAATAAGCCTAAAGAACATACAGAGCACATTACACCAGGGTCAGACACCTATGGCTCAGGAGTCAGATGTGGCTCTTTGGATGATTGTGTCTGGCTCTCTGACGAATCCTAGTAGTTGGCTTTTATATTAAAAATAGTTTACGTATTGAATTTCGTCATTATAAAAAGGTTATTAAACAAAGTAATACATTCTGAGATAGATAGATATCGCACTCTAAATGTGTTGATAGTGTTTTAAAAAAATCACACACATGGTTGGCTCCCATAGAAATACATCTTAAAGTATGAGACTTTTATGGCTCTCTCAGCTAAAAAGGTTCACAACCTCTGATCTAGCACCACATGTGCCCCCCCAGGATTCCTGGAGCGCTTTTTGACAGTGTCCATGTTAAACTCCTTAACATTTTTCTCTCCAATCTTGAATGCACCATCTGTTTTGAAACGATAGGAGCAGACGGGGCGCACACACAGGAAGTGGGCGGAGGATGAATCAGAGGGAAAATGGCTGTACCTGTCGGACACGGCCTTCATGAACTCGTCCAGCAGGTCATCATAGGCCTGGCCTCTCACTCTGCGATGCCTCAAGCCGATGTAGAGTGGGTCCTTTAGCAGCGCCTGGAAGTTATCAACAGAACGACTTATTTACTCATGCCAACCATTCACGCACACACCAGACTCATTCTAGGCAATGTGGGTGAAGTGTCCTGCCTTTGGACACACCGATTTAACTGACAACCTTATTGCAGGAACTATAAGATCAGAAATACTTCCCCACCTAGATATGGAAAAAATAAAGATCTTGACAATTGATGTTCACATGAGAAACACATATAACAATGGATCAGTCAGTCTGTATATTATGCAAGTCCAGAATGGCACTTTAAATAATATTTCAGAATGTAAACTTCAGTGGAACATGTGCCTGACACACACCTGTGTCAACACAGCATATCATACAGTATCTTGCAGCTCTATAAAGATACAGTATATGTAGCACTGCTGTACAAATAGAACAAATATTGTGATTCTATCAACCTTGAGGAGATGGTTTGAGATATTTGGCTTGTAGTGTTGCCTAAAGGATGATTGTAATTGAGATTAAATGTATAATCCACAAGTTTCTTTCAAACACGATGTACTGTAGATCCATTCATTATTAAATAGTGGCTTTGAAATCCCTGACATGGTTTGCATCAGAGGTTTAAGTTTAGCATTTCTATAATAGTGACCAGAGTCACTTGAAGCCTCATTAAGAATAACCTTTCATGTCAATTTAATTTCTATAATTTCAGAGGATAATAACAAGTCTCCACAATGATGTGCCTGGATAAGACAGCAGCACTCTTTTCCATGCCAAGGCATTGGGATGACAAGTCCAAAAACAGGTTTATTTCAAGCATAGTTTATTTAAAGTGCGTCCTCTCTCCACAATGATTTAACTAAGTAAGTAAGAGTACATTGTGGAAAAACTAAATATGAGACCTAAGAGGACCGGCGCTAATTTATGAAACAGAAACAAGGCTCAAGTATTAATGCAATTCTGAGAATGATTGCCACAAATAAGTGGAATGTAATACATTTGAATAGATTTCACTGCTGACTGTCCTCTGTCGCTGGCCAATAACAAAATCTAAACACAGAAACCAAAGAATAGGGAAAAACAACATGTTACAATTTTAGAGTGCTGGAAACTTGAGTGATAAAATGCAGGCTTTCTTACAGGACAAGTGTCTGTGGAAAGGACACTGGGTTTACACTTGTAAATGGCCACCCACCTGCCCCAGACACAACCAGCATATTGTCCTGGCTGAAGTGAGCAGCTAAGTGTGTCTGTAGTGTCCGGTTACATGAGATGACAGCAGGATCATTGACAAAAGGCTTGTGCATGAAAAGACGGAGATGCAAAAGTCAGAAGCGCATCCAAAACCCAATGGAACAAAGACCAGGAGATCCCAAGCTTTTCACTGTACAAATATAAATACATCAGAAAATAAAACTTAAAAGGGACTTGACTATAACTAATGCAGGCCCATTTACCCAAAAAGGAACACATATCAACCTCGGAGTATCAGGCCTGGGCTGGTCCAAAAAAATAAAAATTGAATAGAAAATAAAAACTGGATGGGCTTGCAACAGTACCTGGACAGAAACGTTTGTGGTATTTTGTGTTATTATTGCTATTGTCTTACAGTATAATTAAAATATGTTGTAGATGTTTGGGGTTACGTTTTTAGTGTTTTTTAAATCTATTTTTCATACATTTTTTTCACTCTTACCTGTATTCTGTTGTCCAAAAATGAGTATAATTTAACCAACGCAGAACTCAAAACAAAAATTGTTGGAACTGAAACATGACACCAACATATATTGTGGTTAATTAATACTTTTGTGGGTTTCTCTGGTCTCTCTCTGGTCTCTCTCTGGTCTCTCTCTCTGGTCTCTCTCTCTGGTCTCTCTCTCTGGTCTCTCTCTGGTCTCTCTCTCTGGTCTCTCTCTCTGGTCTCTCTCTGGTCTCTCTCTGGTCTCTCTCTGGTCTCTCTCTGGTCTCTCTCTGGTCTCTCTCTGGTCTCTCTCTGGTCTCTCTCTGGTCTCTCTCTGGTCTCTCTCTGCTCTCTCTCTCTGCTCTCTCTCTGGTCTCTCTCTGGTCTCTCTCTGGTCTCTCTCTGGTCTCTCTCTGGTCTCTCTCTCTGCTCTTTCTCTAGTCTTTCTCTGGTCTCTCTCTGGTCTCTCTCTGGTCTCTCTCTCTGGTCTCTCTCTCTGGTCTCTCTCTCTGGTCTCTCTCTGGTCTCTCTCTCTGGTCTCTCTCTGGTCTCTCTCTGGTCTCTCTCTGGTCTCTCTCTGGTCTCTCTCTGGTCTCTCTCTGGTCTCTCTCTGGTCTCTCTCTCTGCTCTCTCTCTGGTCTCTCTCTGGTCTCTCTCTGGTCTCTCTCTGGTCTCTCTCTGGTCTCTCTCTGGTCTCTCTCTGGTCTCTCTCTGGTCTCTCTCTGGTCTCTCTCTGCTCTCTCTCTGCTCTCTCTCTGGTCTCTCTCTGGTCTCTCTCTGGTCTCTCTCTGGTCTCTCTCTGGTCTCTCTGCTGCTCTCGCTTTCTGTTTTGTGCTCTGTACTGTACTGAGCCGGTACAGATGGCAAATATTGCAAGGTTTCAGAGTAAATAACATACTATGGACATATGGACCTTTATATAATTTGAAATCCAAACAGCCCCTTGTTAAAGTAAAAAAATCTAGTTGGATGTATGCCAGTCCATGACTCTTTGTACCAAACATTTCTTGAAGGACAAAATATAATCCCGTAATAACAGCAATTTGGATAATTTGACTGCGCTACCACTAACTCATGAACTTCCTCATCAGCTCCCAACAAGAATCCATAACAAAGCACATTAGTCAGCGGTCTAGACGGACTCTCATATGGATTAGGACACATACTCAAACAGAGGCAGCCTATTGCATTACAGGTCACTTAGCCTGTCATCTCTTCAGAACCATGAGGAAATGAAATGGAAAAGTTGGGTATAGATCACCAGACAGCAGTCAGAGTCTTACTGAGGTATTTCTTTTAATCCAATACTAGGAAATATAATTGATACTGTATTTTTTCTTCTTCATTCCTGAAATTGTTGCTTGTTATTATGTGTGCATTGAAAAGGTCTGCAGCTTCAAAATAATTGTAGAGCTGACGATTTGCCCATATTATTCATTAGCATATAAATCACTTGTACACTTTTTACGACTGCCTCTATGTAAACTGATACGTTAATATCTAAGAAACACAAGGAGACCCAAGATAACAGAAGCGGGTCAGAAAGTACGAAGTAATAAAGATAAAAAGGTTCAGTGGAAAAGTTTCAATACATACAAAGCACACTTCTAGTTGTTCATTTGCTGAGGGCATTAAGCACATTCATTTAAGCTACAGGACACAGCGCCACCACAATGAAATCCTATTGAGAAAAATTTGAAAGCAGAAGTTTTTGCTGCTATTGGTAAGTTTTTATCTTGAGATTCTCGTCTAAACTAGGCTTCAATCACGTGTGTTCTCACGGTCTTGAGTATTAGCAGCACATGTTGTCCAGTGCTTGAATGGAGATGTTAAATCTGGAGGAGAGAGATCCTAGGTGGGAAGCAGAGTGGCGCTGGCGGAGGGAGCGGTGCTTTCCCAGCTGGCACCTCTCAATGGAGCGGCTGAGCTCACGGAGGGTGTTTCCTGCTGTGGGATCTGTTTTATCCAGTGGCATATGATGTACTATGACGTTTGTACTCAAAGACAGGTTCAATTGTTTAATGGTCTGTGAACAGTAAAACTGGGCCCATACAGTAAGAATGTACAATGTGCCACGTTATACACACTAATCTGTTAGTAAACATAACTTTATGGGTTGCAGGTTTTCAATTATGAAAAGTATTGATTCCCAGGCTCCATTACTGGGAACCCCATAGCACTTGATACTTTGAGTTGTAAATTGACAATGTTAGGTCTGTAACTAATGATTATTTAGATTATCAATGAATCCAGCAATTATTATATTAATTCAATTAATAATATATCTATTTGAGTAATCAGTAACATGTTTAGAAAACAGCCAAAGTTAAACTACTCAAGGACATTTGAATGCTGCGTGCACTGGGCCATGTGCCATTATCATCTACTGTGGTTTGGTGAAATGTGTAGTCAGATTTACTTCGCACGACTGCAGTCTGCTTTGATCTGCATGTGCTGTGTCCTAGCACGTGTCTCTTTGTGTTTATGTGTATTTTCTGGCTTGTGTGAGTGTGATTTGTTAGAAACTCCACCAAATCGCTTTCTGTGACCTTCTCTCGAGGATGTCCTGTCATAGCAGTGGTCAGGATGAGGGATTTAGTCGTTGACTGTGTGATTAACTCTTTGTGAGTTAATCACACAATAAAAAATAATGTTTTAGTTATATCTGCATCTCACCTCATTGTCCGTTCCTACATCCAGCATGACTGGTAGACACTGCTGAGGTGGCATGCCTCCACAGACAGTGTACAGGGCCAGTTTACCCACTGGGATCCCCATCCCACAGCAGCCCAGGTCCCCTAGTCCAAGGATCCTCTCTCCGTCTGTCACACACACAGCCTGCCAAACAACACAACATATATTATTTTCCCACATTCATTTGCTTTATGTGCTGAAAAATTATTCTCATGTGTTAATATGTTTTGTAAATTACAACACTGCTGACTCAGGTCTAATTTTTTCTGTTCCTGCTGAAATATAAAGTGTAGGCCCATAAGGTGAGGCCTGGATAAGCCCCCTGTGACATTGAGCTGCAGTGTGTCAGCACTGTACTAAATACCCTGCTGCTGACAGCGATGAACAGGTGTGACCGGCGACTGCAGGTACATGCTGAATGCCAGGGATGCCTCGTGGTGTCGTCATTGTGAATATTGCAGGATTTTTGGGAAATTGGCCAATATCAGCAGGTCAAGGGACACAGCACATATTTGGCATTACTAAGGTACGCTAAAGTAAAAAATGTAAAACAGCGAAAGCCCTGTTCCCACTGGACTCAGAGTAGCAGCAGTAGTAGTAGAAAAAAGGTCTATGGAGCCGGCCTTTTGGTGGAATGCGTTTCTGTCGCAAGCGTTTCTTTCGTTGAACAAAGCTCAATTTCTGCCATCAATCAATCAGAGAGCAGCACCACTGACGCAGCGGATCAGCTTTATCCAAGATCTATGGAAACAGTGACTGTGGTTTCACCAAGCTCACGTTCTACTGTGACTGGAATAAACAGCAGCAAACAGGTGTATGAGGGTGAGTGTGAACAGGGCTAAGGCTTTTTACTTTTTACCTTGATGTCTTTTTCTGGCCAGTTCTGGAGAATCGAAGCTATGTGTCCACGATCATGGATAGTGATGAACAGGCCCCTGTAGAAGTAAAAATTGTGTAAATTTGGGTATGGATCATAGTAAATTGATATCAAATAACATTTAATATTAATATGTATGATTTAAAATAAAAACCTATTTAAGCCTCGACCTAGAGCAGTGTTTTTCAGCCAGTGTTCCGTGTCACGTTAGTGTGCCTTGATGTTGTTTGGTGTACCTTTGAAAATGATCCAATATCAACTCGATAAGAAAAGAAAAATAAGAAAAACGTATTTTGCGCTTGTTTGATTTTCTAGATAATACACTTTGATGAGAATGACTTTGCATTATTAAAGCAGAGTTTCATTGTTGTTCCAGTTTCAGCTGGTGTTGTGCCATGTGATTGTTTTCAATTAAAAAGGCGTGCCTTGACTCAAAAAGGTTGGGGAGCACTGACTTAGAGGGTGTTTGAAGTTAGAGAGCCACTTTCTCTTACCCTTTGAACTAAAGGCATTATTCCTCACAAACGGCACATAGAATTTCAAAGTTGAGCCTGAAGACAAAACTCTTTGCACGCAGCGTCTGTTTAGGCCCCATAAGGCTGCTTAAATATATGCGCCCTACTGCTATAGCCCCTCCACGCTAGCTCTCTTACTCTCTTGTGTCTCATGCTTCAGGACAATCCTTGAATGAAGGGGCTGTGTCTGTGTGGGGTCCCTTTTGTAGCACAACCATCTGGACAGGACTTCATACCATCCCCAAAGCATGACAGTTAAAAAGTGAAAAGCGTTTACTTATAAACAGTATAAAGAACCACAATGTGATAAAAACGTACAACAACAATATACAAAGTAAACCCATTATTTACTAAATAAAGCACATCTTATCTTATCTTATCTCTTATTGTATTATTTCTGCTAAAACATTATGGAATATTGTCCTGCCTGAAGACTTCGGTGCCAACCTCTGTTTTTAAAACTGGTCAGAGAGGAACAGCTCCAGGTTAGGCAAACAATAATTTTGAAAGTTCATGTTGAAAGAAACAACATGGCCCTTTGAGGTAAATCTTATGTTATTGTATTATAGGTGTATAGAAAATAAAACGCTGACATTGCAGCACCTGTGATTTGTGATTTTGCATATTTAAGCAGGCAACTTGTTGTCTACTGGTTCAATGTCTTCAAATATTGTACTATCCACTTGCAAAGTTTGGTGCCGTCAAACATCATTGGATATTCCAATTATTCTTTATTGAAGTTTGAAGTATGCCCCATTGCACGCTGGTGACAGAACAGCAGTGGCCTAATTTTCTGGCCGGATGAAGGGCTACAAAGAGTGTGGCTGAGGTCAGGGGAGGAGAGAGTAAAGAAAACAACCTGGCAACCAGAAAGTGTAGTGCCCAATGACCTGTGGTCCAACACAAAACACACCCATGAGACCAACCAGGGTGGGAGGGGGCCCTGGAGTAAGACAGCCTGACCTCAAAACAGAGCGTCCCACAGGCGTTGACCCGTGTCCTCACAAAACGCCTCCAATCACCACCTCTGAACGCCCCCCAATGACATAACCTTAATCTTCACCCTGCAGTTAGCGAGCCACATAGGGCTAGACTGACACAATAGGCACAAAACATCGAGTAAAGCCTCAAAAATGGGGCCAGAGTTCAGTGGCTGGAAACACTAGAAGCTTTTGCCACTGAATTTCTCTGCGATTCCAAAAAGACAGGACACTTTTGGGGACTGCCACTGCCAAACTCAACGTGATTGTGAATGTGTTTGATTGAAATCGGAAGTACTCAAGTGTGATAATGATTGAGCCCAGAGCAAGAGAAAAGTGTTCATATTCACAGCACGTTTAAATTATAGATGTGTTCCTCTTCCCCTTCAAGTCTCCAATGTCCTGGTTGAAAATTATTAACAAAGAAACCTGGATTATCAATTCATACAATATCAGCAGCACCAGAGCTAAAGTTGGGAAGCATTTGCAGCTACTTATCTATGTATATATCGAAGTGTCCTCACTGTGGAAAGGTGCTCATCTTATTAGCAGTGCAGACTATAAGTGACATGAGTTATCTATGTCTACTAGCTGAGGAAACTACTTCTTTTTTAGTGTGAGTTTTTTTTATGAATTCAGACAATTGCAGTCACTTCATGACAAGATAAAAAGTACATAAGTACATAAGAACATACACCCCCCTACACCAATTGGTATCCCTAGCTCATCCCCTGTTCCATTGTGGAGAAAAGGAAGGCTGCATTCATCACCTAAGAGCAGCCTTAGGTGATGAATGCAGTACCTGAGGCTGCAGGTAGTACACAGTGATGAAAGAGTGAGGATGGACTCAATGATGCATGCTACCAACAATCAGATAGTGGGACAGGTTTAACTAACGCCTGATGCAATCCACTCCAGAGGTCAACAGAGATAAACAGAAAGTTAATTCTGACATGAACCTGAAGAGATGTTTTCCTTATCATTACTGCACTCTATGGCATATGCAGCTCCAAAACTGGAAACCATGAGGGTCAAGCAGCAAATATAAATGTGTAATGTTTACACAAGGCAACTATTACAAATTCTAATAAAATAAGAAAGGTTGAAGTTGAGGTCAGAGAAATTCAAGAAAGGGGTCATAAAAGTACAGGTCTTAAATATATCTTTTGGACATTACTAATAAGAAACTTACAATGATAACACTTCTGCACAGTAGGAAACTATTGGCTACAATAAAACGGTTCCAGTTAGCATCATTAAACTAACATATTCATTCTGGGGGAGAAATCCCTTGTGGAGATTCATCGCTTTTTAAACAAGTTTCAAAATGGCAAAGTGGTCCAAAGTTAACATAAGGGTTCCACACACAAGGGTATCATGTTCAGCTTTTAGAAGTTTAAAATGAATTTAAAAAAATAGAAAAGCACTTGTATAGTATAGACCTCAGCCAAGAGAGTTCCATCCCTTAAACAAAATCCTCCATCCAGACGATGACTCCAGTCATTTTCAAATTCAATGAAGTTCTTCATTGGGCCATTTTGGTCAAACAGTTATGTTGCTCACAGTTGAACAGACACACAGACAGACAAACGACAGTGATCACTTTACCTCCACGAGGAAACATCAAAACCTTATTTTCATATTGATGAGAAAAGAAAAACCAGAGAACGAATTTATCAACACATTCTTGAGGCTGGTTGGTCATTGCTGCAGTTCCTATCTGCCAAAAAATTAAATAATAATAAATAATAATACAGTAAAGTGCAACTTCTAACATTGTTCAGTTCTTTCCACCTTAAATTTCCACTGAGATTTTCACAGCAAAGAAACTAACCTGAACTATGCAAGAGGAACGAAGCCACTGTATTTTTATGTTGTTCCTTAACAAAAATAATCTTTTGTCCCATGTTAAGAGCTTAGTTTTTGTGTTTTCTCTAGCAGCAAGAAACGAGTGTACCCAGTCATTTTTGTTCAACACCAAGCTCTCATCACTTGGAAATGAATCGTGACGGACAGGAATCTTTTGTCCAATATGTACTTTCCTATTACCACCTCTAGTCTGGAAGGACAATGCACTCTTCTTCTCCTGCATGCCTCACACTGTCCACAGCATGCTCAGGCTGAGAAAGGATTTCTACACACCACGTCTATTCAACTCCTCATCTGACTCACCTTCTTTCTGCACAGACACGGGTTGCTTCATTTCTTTGGTTGTGGAAAACCAAATCCAACCTTTTTTCATTTCACTGCATTTCCCTCAAATCTATCAGAGCTTTCACACATCAGAATATCATCCTCTATGACTGGACCAGGAGATGAGGGTATATGAGGCCAAAACAGAGCCAATCTGGAAAGTTGTCGTCACTTTGGCTATACATGCCACATGCACAAAAACATAACCATTGCATTTTTCTCTCCAGAAGGATTAAAAAATGTGTACAAACTCAAAACCTTTAATTGGTATATAATTTGATAAAGTATACTTTTACCTTAACTTTAAAAGATTGAGAAGTGTTTAAGAATTGGCTCCAGTGTGTCTGTCACAGTAGTCCCTGCGCTGAATTTTGGAAATGGCTGTTGTAAACTGCTATGAAAAATGTATCAGGCAAAGTTTAACTTTAACTTCTTTATGCACAAATTATGACCATTAATTTCTCCTGTATTCATTTTAATAATAGGCCTGTTTACTTTTTTCTTTCCTTTGCAGATGATGACACAATGTAAAAAAGAAAAGCAAAACAAGTTAATTATGTATTTATATCTGCATTGTCCTTGTCTCATTACCTGCATTACTTAGCCTATTGTCTGATTTGAATAAAAAGGTTATTTGTAATATACTGTAGTTTGCTCTAATGAGTCCGGATGGGTAATAGGTCGACATGAATGCTAGCAGGGAGACAAGAAGGAGATATTACCACAAATGTAACAGAAAGAGCCTAAATAGGACATCTAGAGATTGGAATTTAGCACCTAATTTGTAACCAGACCCTATGAGTCATCACCATCACGGACTGCTGTAGCTATAATGGGGTTGAAAGAGCAGCGGTCAAGTGTCCAGACTATTGCTGCAGATACAGTATCGGCTTTAGCCAGACTTATGCAAGGGCAGGAAAAGTCTTCTCCAAATCCTGCTAAAAAGATCAGAGCCACAAAACCTGATGAACCCAGTGGTTATTACAGTCTCTAAACCACAAGCAAAGTTTCCAAGCCTTTCTGATCAATTCCGGACAGTGAGAATCTGGAGAGAGTTAGGCTTTATATGTATTTAGTGTCAAGACAAAGTAACTATATGTAAATTGACATGGTTGATTTTTAGTATAATGAAAATATTACCAAAAATAATATAGTTTTGTTAAATCTAAACCCAGCTGATCATTAAACTGTGCTATTGAGGGACATCACCCATCCAGCCATGTGTGTAGTTCATATTGTGTTCCAGTACTCAGACGACGGAATATCCAAGTTCCGACTTGTAAGTTTGAAGTAAAACAACCTTTTAACTCGGATTTCCGACTTGGAAAATCTGAAAGAATGTTGGTGCCTGACACTTTTTGAGTGGAATG